TTTTTTTTTAAAAAAATATTTTTATTTATATAAATAAATAAATAAATATTTTATTATTTATTATTTTTTTTTTTTTTTTTTTAAATTAAAAATAAAAGAATAGCCTATTAAACTTCATAATCATTTAAGTAAATGTTTCTTTTTTCCAAATAAAAAATCCAGGATTCATTTTAATGCAGCAATATTTGCGGTTTTATGTAAAAAGCCCGTTTCACCTTGAAGTCACCGTGCTGAAAATATGGCCTACATATTTTAATGTTTTACTTTGAAGCGAATTGCCTGTATTTTAGCTCCCTTTAAATTTCTCTATACACTCTTAAATGCCGACTGATCATTATAACGTGACAAAACTAAATCTGTCCACATAAAAATATACAAATTCTTAATTTGCGAGCTGTAACGTAGCAATTTTCCTTTACACTGATTTTATTAAAAATCGCCTGTTTTCATAGTTTGTGAAACCTTTTAAAATATTCTTCGTTGTGATTAAAATAAGTTTTCCCGTCATTACACTTCCCCTTTGCGTTCACATGAATAAATACGTTGCGCCATTTAGTTCTAAATTTTATTTTTACTTTTCTGGTTTGTAATCTGCACGCAAAGAAGTGCACTTATTCATCCTGACTATATATATATATATATATATATATATATATATATATATATATAATTTATTTTTATTTTTTTTAACAGACCTTGGTACTCAGGTTTCATAACTGGGAAATAGGCTTATCCCTAACCTCTATATTGCGCATATTTATTTATTAACTGGAGGGCTTTGCGCTTTGTTGTGCCATGAATATAGCTTCACCTTTTAGTTTTTATATATATATATATAAAAACATGAATTATATAAAAAGGTGGCATGGGATTTAAAATATTAATGCCTCATCCTATATTTGCCTGGCAACAGTAAGCTATATATGTTATGGGCTTATGTACAGACCTGTGTGACGTATATGCGGCATTAATGTCTTTGCTAACATCACTGCTTCACTTCATGGTCTGTCACTCTCCAGCCCCCTCCACATAAGGGATCCCCGCATATACCAGAGTAAAAATAAATACATTTAAGTGACTCTAATAATTCCCGCCTTAATTGTGTGATCTGACCTCTTTTTCAATACACACTGCTGGTGGGGGGAACAATCTCCAATCCGAAATGTGAAGAATTTTCCTTGCGTTGTCACTGCTCACATAAAAAAAAAAAATTCAGATTTTTAGGGAGTAAATTATGCTCTGCGCCATTTATTTCAACAAGGGCGCACCTTCTGGATTTTGCACTGCCAGCCGTGAAACGAAAGAGCCGCAGAAGATCAGATCTGAATTTTATAAAAAAAAATAAAAAAAAAACCTGGCGGATCAGCATTTATTAAGTGCTGAGGTTGAGCATCTGACTGCTGCTACACGTTGAGCAATTTTTCTGTTTCACTGAAAACATGACCGAGCTGTGTCTTCGTACCTTCCTCTGCAGCCCGCTGAAAGTTTCACACGGGCCCTGTTACGTAACGTTTGTAACCTTGAAGAGGTTGCAGCATCACTGTGGCGCGCGGAGCGCTGAGTTTCTCCCCATCATTACAGCGGCAGCCTGATCTCACCCTGTCGCTCTGAAGGAAAACAACCATAGCAGTGACTCGGGATTTTTCAAATTTATTTTCCAAAAATCAAGTTAAAAAAAAAAATATCGTTAGTGTACAAAATTAAATAAATTAAGAAAAAACATAATTAGGTTTAGACTGCAACCTCTGAGGATTTAGAGGAGGATTGTTTGATTTTCAGGCTTCATTAAGGACCAAAGGTTAAAAAAAAATAATAATAATACAACATAATGTAAACAAGTATAAGTGTTTCCATTCATTCGCTCCTCTTCTGCACGAATTAGGATAAGTAGTGAGTGAAAGTAGTGGACAGATGTGAAATTAACCTCATCATATGTTCCTGACCTGCTTCGATCAGACCTGCGCACATGTCATTGATTTCCTGCAGGTACAGAGTAGCGGAAGGGACACATTCAGTGATCAGCGCTTGGATTCTTGAGGTCACGTCGATTGCAGTGTACGGCGGTGACAGGAAAAAGATGGGTAGTGTTGACAGGAAGAGTACCAGGGACAAAACGATCCACTTGGACCACGACGACATCCGAGAGCCACCTGTTTGGTAGGCGCCATTCTCATGTGGGACTGAGATCTTGTCTATTTCTCGGAGCCGGAGGGAATCCCACTTTTTCACATCGAAATTACGCACAAGGGGCCCCACGTCCATGTCTTTCCGAGAGGGCAGGGCGGTCTCCTTCAGGACCTCGATCTTCTCACGGAACTCCTGCATGTGCTGCAGGAAGCACAGCGGGTCGGAGACGCCTCTGACGGACTCCGCCAGTCCGAGCGCGCGACTCTGCTCCTCCAGCGCGGCGCTCAGCTTGGAGATCTCCGGGTCGTACGCCTGCATCACCACCAGCTTTAGCGTCTCGAAGTCGGAGAGGATCTCGCTCTTTTTGCACTCGAGGGATCCGATGAGCTTGTCGAAGTAGTCGGCCACCTTCTCCGCGTCCCTGCCCACCGACTGGAGAGCCTTTTTCTTGCTGGCTTGCAGCGTCTCCAGGCAGGACAGGGTGTCCGCGCTCTGCCAGCTCTCCGCCTCCTGGAGCAGGTCTCCGAACGCCCCCTTCTCTCGCTCGTACGCGTCCTCCAGGGAGCTGAAGCCGTGGCCCCTGTGCTCGTCGGTCGTCGCGCAGATTCCGCAAATGAGCCGCAGGTCGGTGGCGCAGAATATGTTGAGCGGCTGCCCGCAGTGTTGCTTGCAAGCGGACATTTTAGGCATCACTTTAATTTTGCTGAACTTGTCGACGATGGCGCGCAAAGAGTAGTTGATCTGCAGGCTGCTCGCGCCGTTATGGGGGGTCTCCTTGCGGCACGTGGGGCATTTCAAAGGCGTCCTGAAAGCCGGACCCCGGTTGCCCTCCAGCAGCCCCTCCAAGCACTTCTTGCAGAAGCTGTGCGAGCACAGCAGCACCCGCGGGTCCTCGAAGAGACCGCAGCAGACTGGACACGTAAGCTCCTCTTCCAGCTGCTCCATTGTGCCCTGCGAACACATCATCACCCAGGCGTCAAAACACACATGCAGGGAAAAACCAATAAAATCACTCAATAATACAGACTTATCACAATACGCACCCACACTCAAAGGGGATGCCGCTATATATATATATATATTTAAAACGAACTACAAACGAGAACAAGGTCGCAAAAGGATACAGATTTTTTTTTTTTCCTCTTGGGTCAAGTCACGTTCCAGCTGTTTCTGATGCATTCCCGTCTTGAAAGTGAAACCGTCTTGGATCGGTGTGCCCGCGTAAAAAATCTGCCCGCTGGAGCTCCGTTTGCGCATCTGAGGCTGTGCCACATCCTGAGGCTTTTCCCCCCCGGCATAACCAGCACACCTACTGGTCAAAAATAACCCCCAAATAACTTGGATATTAACTCCAGCAACAAACTATTCTTCGCTTGTCTTGCATTCCTTGTCAGCGGGACCGCGGTTAGCTGACAGCTGCGCTCTAAATCACAGCGATTCTCCCTCACCAATCCAATGCGACAGATTATCGACAGAAGTGGGGCTTGCTCGCGCTGCTTGCTGCTGTTGGCAAGGTACCGAAAGGAGGGCTGTGACAGATTTTTGCAAGCGCATAGTAACATGCAACTACTGGACCAAAAGAATCACTCACCAGCTGCTGAGGCGCTCTTTGCAACGCAATCATGGCGCTTGTTGCTGTGCAGACTTCGCCCTTTCCGGGTGTGGAGTTAACCGCTTCAGCGCCAAGCAGAAACATATAATCGGACGATTCGTCCTCATTTGTGCACACATAAATCCGATTTTGTGCCGAATTGAGAGTATGTGTAACCTGAATGTATTTTGGGTTATTCAATGGCTTCGACTGGGAATTTTTTTATGAGTGTACGTCTATGTGGCTACGGAGGAATTGGCAGGCGACCCCCAAGCCGTCGGTTGGGGGAGGGGCTGTTGCTATGCAAAACATTACAGCGTGAAAAACTGTCAAGTAGGTTTTTAGCATCTTTAACTCTGAACTAATTTAGTAGTTCGTGTTGGCACGAATTGATTCAGGCAGCTGTTAACTTTTGGCAGTGTAAAAGTGTAGCTGTAGCTGCATATTAGCTGACCCAGAGTTGTGCTACTCTCAGTGCTTCCAGACTGTTTCAGCAGCAGTCCAAATGAGACCTGGGTCCATGCTCTGCTCTGATAAACTCCCATATTACCGATTGAACGTTTACATTAACCCCTAATCCACTTTCTATTTACTCGGGGTTATGTAACATCGATACCCAATAGTTACTGAGTCACGTGGAGCAATGTTGACCTTGATTTTCTTCCCTTGTTTCCATGCCATCAGGAGCAACTGCCTGTCTTTGCCGCTGTGATTGGATACAGTACAGGGAGCAGCCAGTGTTGTAGCTCCGCCCTTCTGCCGCTAGGTGTCACTGGTGCGTCCAGGGGGCAGCACTTTTAATTTTCTGACGCAGCAGCGCTCTTTGGTTTGACAGCCTCTCTTTTCCGGATGTTTGGTTAGGATCGGGAGGAAAGAATGGCCGCTATGTTTACGTGTTGTTTCGGCTGCTGCGGAGAGGGCGGTTCGGGGCATATACCCCTGAAGGAGATGCCCACTGTTCAGTTAAACACTCATCACATGGGTGAGTAGGTTCATATGAAAAACTGTTAACCATGTTTACACCAATCATCTACTGGGAAAAAATATATACAATTGAAGCTAGTTAGCGTTTAGCTTCTTGAATAATTGTAGACACTGTTTCGTTGTGTTTTACTACTTGTATTTGTTTTATAACTTGAATTACGTGCTTTTAATTGTCTGAACTGAATATTGCTTGCTAATTATTAATAAACTGTAATTCTTTGTTTGAGGTTGATTACTGGCCATTTTTCCTTTGCAGTTAAGTAAAAGTAACTGACTTGAACACACATACAAGAATGCTCTTTAAAAATATATATTCTTCTACAATTAATATCTCATTTATCCGAAAAGGCATATTTATTTTAAATATACAATTTACAAAAAAACATGCCTATCAAAAACAGAATTAATAGGAGAGATACATAATCCTCTGATGATTTTGTAATCATGATTTTGTGAAGTAATATAGTCTCTCATTTTTAGTAATTTTGTTGCTTTTGAGGACAGAAAGCATCACAAAAGATGTGGACAAAAAGTACTGGAAAAACTTCCATCAATCTATTGTCTTCTATTTATCTGACTTAAAGTAACAGGGGTAAGAGGTCCAGCAGGGATACCCCAGACTTCCCTGTGCCCTGTGGTAATCTCTGGCTCATTCTAAGCATTCCAAACACTCCACACAATTTGTTTCCCAGTAGGAAAAGCACCAAGGAGCCATCGAGATCAGATGCCCAGGCCAAATGATCAGACTTCTAACGACTGGAGGAGTGGTGAATCTACCTTAAGGTCCCCTCAAATGACAGAACTCCATACTCCAACTATGTGGTTGAACATAGGCACCCTACAGAGGAAGCTTAGAAAAAGAAGACTCCCATCTGCCGTGAGCGTGACTTTGGGCTAAGGATGTAAACACAGCTCTGGAGACCAAATAACAATCTTAGAAGTATTCAAAGTACCCACAGTCTACCAGCCCTCATCACACACACACACAAAGGCCTCAAGGGACGTTGGTGTTGGTCTTCTTTGGCTACACAGACCACACATGGACCGAACAACCAAACAGCGCATGTGGAGCGCAGCTTCCTCTTCGGCGTCCATCTTCTTTTAGATTGCTGTGCCCAGGTCAAAGTTGAAATTTGTTGAACTTTGCACGGTGACAGATACTTGTGCAGTCAATAGATAAAGGATGTATATCAACCTTTTCCAGTTCAAATAAAATGACAACCAGTCAGTGTTAAATCAGGGCTCCTTCACAGCCCTACACTGCCTTCTGAATCATAGGGACTCATCATTTTCTCTAGGTAGCTAATTACCAGTTAAATAAAAAAAACTTTGCCTCTTTTGGTTTGTAGTCTTGAATAGAGTCATCAGTGTTGTTTTCAATTTATCTCCCCATGTGTTTGATGCAAACACCCAAGTAAAACTCAGCACGGAAGCTCCTCTAGCAGGGAAACCGTCCCTAAGCATAATGGTTCCACCTCTGTGCTTGACTGTCGGGATCATGTTATTTATGGCATGCTTAGCATGTCTCTGTCAGGTTTTCAAATTGATGCTGAGGACTTTTCTTTTTGGTCTCACTAGATCAACTTTCTCCCAAAATTTCTATCAAACATGTAGCTTTTCCTTGACAAAGTGAAAACAGTTGCTGTATAATGACTTACTGTTGCAGGAGTCTCCAAGATTTAATTTCAGTGAAACATAATGTGCTGCCAGGGCTGTTCATCTCTTTGGAATTAAGCAAACTTAAAAAAAAAATCAGCAGGGCACACACAGGCTAATATGTTTATTGGTTTCACACTCAGTAATCTGGTCTCAAGGCCGGCCACGAATACTAATTCAAAGAGGTGCCAAGATCTCTGACCATCGGGATATGTATGAAGAAGAGAATATTATGAAGGAAAATATCTATTATGGACAAATGAGAACTGTGAAAAACTGACTGCTGCAATGTTTAAAAAAGGTCATAAATCAGATGCTCCATTTAAACCCTTGGAGGCTAAATTACACAGTATCTAAGTGGAGAAATATTAATGTGTATAATGTACAGCAAATGGAAATAATGTGACGGGGTTACAGAGAGGACGAGGATGTCCATTAGTACCTCCCTTGAGTCTGACAAGGTTTACAGAGTTGATGACACCAGAGCAGAGAAGTGTTGGTTGGAGGATTTATTGGGGCCTGCCATAGCAATGCACAGGAGAGCAGTGCATTGCCTTGCAATTTATTGTTAATATTTTTGCGCTGCAGGCACAGACGTCGTCATCGTAAAGAGCGGCCGGAGAATATGCGGGACTGGAGGCTGCCTTGCCAATGCTCCTCTGCACCAGAACAAAAGCTACTTTGAATTTAAGATCCAGTCCAGCGGTAAGTCCTGGATTTTAGGTTTTTACTGGATTCCTACCCTGTTCTTCCACTTTCTTTTCCTGATTTAAATTGAGCTTTTGGGACCTTTTGTAGTTTTTCTTGCCTATGCTGTATAAAGCTTTATGTTCATTTTATAGTACTTTAAATGCAGCATTGTATTGACTTAAAATATGCTTAATTTTAGCTGTATTATTCCGTGTTTATTATTTTAAGTACATTTTATCAACCTAAATTTATATATATATATATATATATATATATATATATATATATATATATATATATATATATATATATTATATTTATTTT